TCTCTCTCTCTCTCTCTCTCTCTCTCTCTCTCTCTCTCTCTCTCTCTGTATGTTCATTTTAAATTTTTTCTTTATTAAAAAAATTGACAAGGTCTTTTCTGCTCTAGGCCAACCTCTAGCTCACTATGTAGCTGAGGAGGACTTTGAACTCCTGATCCTCCTGTCTCTGCCTCCTGTGTTCTAGGATTACAGCGTGCACCACCATGCCTGGTCTGTGCAGTGCTGGGGATCCCACCACTGTCATGTGCATGCCAAGCAGGTGCTCTGCCGCCTGAGCCCCAGCCCAGCCCTTGCTTGCTCTTGCCCTTCATTCATCTCTGGGAATCAGCTCAGAGCTGGTGGAGATGGAAGAGCCAATGCTCTTTGTCCTGCTTCCAGTTTCTGAGGGAAATCTCCAGTGTGTCTTTGCAGGAAGCATATTTTGTCTGCCAGGGTTTAATCAGTTCCTTGGCGATTGTTGGTAGCAGAGGGCGAAACCTAAACCTCAGAGGCAGATGATAACGCCCGTCTAGATAACTCGAAGTGGCTCGTCTTTCTTGATAAAATTTCTCTTGGCAATGGGGTGTGGGGTGAGGGGGTGGGATGGGGGTGTGGGGTGAGGGGGTGGGATGGGGGTATAGGACTGTAGGTACGTGAGGAGGAACACTGTGATAAGACTTTTCTTTCCTGTTTCTCCCAGCTCTTCCTCATTCCTGCCCCCTTGCTTTCCCAGATTTGTCCTTGGTGACTTTCAAAGTAGGATTTGGGGAGGGGCGAATCATTTACAATGGCATTTCTAGCCTTGTAGTCAAACAAGGTATGGTGACATGGGACAAAGCAGAGACTCACCCTTTATTTCTTGTGTGTGTGTGTGTGTGTACATATTCATACCATTACATGTGTGTGGAGGTCAGAGAACAACTTGTGCTAACCGATTCCATCCTCTTAGCACGTGGATCTCAAGTACTGAGTTCAGGTCATCATGCTTAGTGACAAGGGGTCCTACCTGACGAGCCTGACCTTTACCTTTCCTGGAAATAGAACTATAGACTCACAGGTGACTGTCTTCTGAATGTTTGAATTTCACCCACCATTCTAGAACCGTGCTTGCAAAAGCATAGTTCACCCTTATTATATAATTAAGATCTGGTGGACGGTGACAGACTCATCCTGTCCATGACAGCTGTGTGGAACGGCAGGGCTCTTCTTTTGAGAGAGGAGAGGGCTTCATTAAAGCTCATTCTTACTGCTGTAGACGCCTTGTTACTTATTTATTGTTGATGCTTTGTTTTTAATGATACAGGCTCATAAACATAAGCTTGAGGCTGGAGATGGACTTAGTTGATAGAACCCTTGCCTGGGTTCTTTCATTGTCATGTAGCCCAGCCCCGGCGTATGTGGGAGGACCAGGATTCATGGCTAGCTGTGCGCAGCCAGTTGAGGCCAGCCTGGGCTACAGGAGAGACTGAATGAATGAATGAATGAGTGAATGAATGAATGAACGGGCATTTGGACTCTGCCATAAGAGCTGAGTGCATTCCCCCTCCTCATTCTTTTCTCTCTTCCCTCCCACTGCCAGGTGTTCTTTGATCTGATGAGAGAAATCCGGGCAAAAAAGATGTCGGAAAACAAGGACAAGAATGGCAGGAAAAGCAGCAAGAGCAAGAAGAGTTTCAAAGAGCGGTGCTGCTTGCTGTGAGCAGGCTGGGGACCCAGCAGCGAGGGCCACACTGCAGTGCAATGAACCCGAGATGGCCTCCCGCTGGCCCCCCGCTCTCCACAGCTGCATTCACTAGCACTTCGTGAGTTGGGACAGAAACCCCCGCATCAGTGGCTGGCAGAAGAGAGTCTGCAATGCATCTGTTAACTTCTCCAGGAGCTTTGCGAGTCTGCCCCTCCCACCCTTCCTGAACCGTGACCGCCACCAGCTCTAGGGTCTTAGTGCCGGGAGATCAGGAGCCTGAGCTGTGATGACAAGGAAGTATTGCCAGCTTGTTCCCCTCGTTCTAGGACACGGTCATCTTTGTTAGAAAATTTAAATGCTTCATATTAGCTGGGCATGGTGGTGCACCTCTGTAGTCCCAGAACTCTAAAAGGTAAGGCAGGGAGAGTAACCTGAACCTAAGGCCAGCCTGGACTACCTAGCAAGACCCTGTCTCTAGAAGAAAAAAATAATTAACATCTTATTTTCTTAGATTTTAAAAGAGGGTCTCCAGCAAGGCCCCTCGTCAGTTCTTACCAGTTTAGAAGTAGACAGGGAAAAAAAAAATCAAAGCTCAGGTAATACTGAAAAAAGCCAAATCGATTTGTTTCTTTTCTTTTTATAAAACATAAACTGTAGCTTGGAAGCAGGATTAGAAAGATGAACTTCACTTGGGCCAGATAGGCTGCACCAAATTTCCTGGCGTTTGTAGGGAAAGTGGGATGCTGTTCTCTTCATATTTAAATGCCAGCCAGGTGCTGGCTGTGGGCTTTCCCCCCTCAACACCCTAACTTAGTGAGGAAACTTTGTGTGGGGGAGATGCAGGCCTGCACCCCACAGCGAGCTCGCCTTTTCTGACTGGGTCATTTCACATCTTCTGGTTCCCTCCCACACCAGCCATAGACCTGTTCTTCCTTCTGAAAAATGTGACCAGTTCACACTATGTCCCAGAACATGGGGCCAGCGCCAGCTACCTCTCTAGACATCCAGCGACTCTCCATTTACAAGCAGAAGAGGGGAAGGAAGGCTTAGAAGGGTCATCTCCTGGCTCCGGGCAGCTGGTTCTGCTGACACTGAGATGAGCCAGGTTCCAGAGGCTCACACCCTCTTTCTCTGTTAAGCTTCCTAACGGGAAAAGGGACTCTGGGACGGGGGCTGCCACTGAGCACACACACTCCTCCCATTTTCCAGAAGTGAACATTTCATGTTTAGGTGCCGAATGTGAGTCTGGGTGGGGAGAGCGGGAGCCCTTCCAATGGATGGGTTTTTTTTTACAGAGGTTATGGGAACTGATCCCTAGAAACTGGTCTGGTGTCACTTCCAAAGAATCATGGGCTTTTTCAAATAAAAAAATTTACACTTTTCAGGATTTTGCCCTTTTTCCTTCACGCCACCACACAGAGCGCTCTGGGAAAGGAATTGGCGGTCACTCATTATTCTTAGCAGCTGTGCTGCGGTATCAAGCAAGCATCACTTCGGTGAATCCCACGGGCTGGGAAACACAACTATAAATACAAGCAATAACTGTAGCTTCATCTCCCCTGTGGGAGACATTTCCGTCCTCCTTCACAGATAAAACCCTGAAGGTAATTACACCTGAGCACTAACAGGCAGCCCTGTCAATTAAAGATTTTGCTGACATAAAAATGTCCCTGTGAGAGAGATGACTCAGTAAGAGCAGGTGCTACAAAAGCGTGGGGACCTGGGTGTGAATCCCCCGCACATGTAAAAAGCCAGGGGGGGCCATGTGCATGTCTGTCACCAGAGTGTTGTGGAGTGACTGGAGGCAGGAGGATCGCTGGCACTGGCTGGTTGTTAGACAATCACCAGGTTCAGTGGAGGCCCCATCTCAGAGCAAGAAGGTAAGGGTGCTGGAGCATGCTCCCTCAATGCGTGCACACACACCACATGCCTGAACTACCCGTACACACATGTGAACCCTCAGTGCATGCACACACCACACGCCTGAGCTACCCATACACACATGTGAACCCACAGTGCGTGCACACACCACACTCCTGAGCTACCCGTACACACATGTGAACCCACAGTGCGTGCACACACCACACTCCTGAGCTACCCGTACACACATGTGAACGCACAGTGCGTGCACACACCACACTCCTGAGCTACCCGTACACACATGTGAGGCGTCAAAGATGATCACACTGCCTATTAAATGGACCCATCTCCACTGCACTGACAGAAATGTGCTTATTAAGCTAGAAAAGTTGTGGTGTGTAAATTTATTCCATTTGTGTGTATGTATGCATACAATGTAGGCATGTGTGGACACAGCTGCCACCTTGAACTATGTAGATCAAAGGACAGACATTTTGGAGAATTGGTTCTTTCTTCCACCTTTACATGGGTTCCAGGGATCAAACTCGGGCCATCAGACCTGTTTGGCAAGCACTTTTACATACTGAACCATCTCATTGGCCAAAAACCAATTTAATGGTGGCCGGCATAGTGGTCCATTGGGTAAAGGAGCTTACCATCAAAACCTGACAGCCTGAGTTCAGTCTCCTTGGTCCACATGCGTGAAGGACAAAGCTGAGTCCTACATGTTGCCCTCCGACCCTCAACACATGCGCTGTGGCATGCATGTATTCATACATAGCTACACACACACACACACACGCACACATGCATGCACACACACATACATGCACACACACTGAATAAAAGCAAATAAAGTTTAAATGAGTATTTAAGTGAGACGACAATAGCTGAGATACGGTTCCTGTGTCGACGTGGGAGCTGTACTCTAAGCGCCACGGATGCTTAGCATGTGCGATTTACACTTGCCACACAAGCCTGCTGACCTGAATCCTGTCGCTGGAACCCATTGTAGAAGGAGGGAACATTCCCAAAAGTTGTCCTCTGTTGCAGTGGCGCGCATGCACACATTATGAGTACTTTAAATTTTATGTGTGTGAGTGTGTGTGCACGCGCTCGTGCTATGCACACGAATGCAGGTGTCTGCAGTGGCCAGAGAGGGTGTTGGGTCTGCTGGAGTTACAGGTGGCTGTGAGCTGCCTGATGTAGGTGACAGGCATCGAACTCCCATCCTGTGGAGAAGAAGCAAGGGCTGCTAACTGATGGGCCATCTTGCCAGCCCCAAATAAGTATTAACTGTGGAAAATACTAGTATGCTAGTAGTAGCAAACATGACTTTGATTTTTTTAATTACATTTTCATTTCTTTATAGTGTACGCATGCGCACCCGTGTGTGTGTGTGTGTGTGTGTGTGTGTGTGTGTGCATTTCAAGCCCACTAGAGGTCAAAGGACAACTCATGAGAGCCAGTTCCCATCCACCACGTGGGCCCCAGGATGGAATTCAGGTGGTGATTAGCCTTAGAGGCAGATGCTTCCACCCACTACACCATATTCACTGACTCCAAACTTTGATATTTTTACTTTTAAACTTATCAGAGTCATAGCTGCGCATGCTTTTTGGTGGTCTAGAAGATGGTCTGAGGAACAGCAGCCTTGTGGCCTTGCTCCTGTGTCAGCCTGTTCTTCATCTCCTGTATGCTTCCAGTGCACCCTCTGGTACTCTGGGATTTCAAAGTAACAGTCTGAGGCCACTGTTTCTTGATTTTCACCCTCAGACTCTGGCAGGGAGGATAATACAGAGAATCTGCATGTGTGCTCATGTGAGTACATGTAGGTGTGCATATTTGCCTATGTGTGCATTCTTGCCTGTGTGTGTGCATGCTAGCCTGTGTGTATGTGTGTGTGCATGCTTGCCTCTGTGTGTGTGTGTGTATGAGTGTGCATGCTTGCCTCTGTGTGTGTGTGTGTTCATGCGTTCATGCTTGTTTGTGCATGCTTGCTTGTGTGTGTGTGCATGCGTGCTTGCTTGTGAGTGTGTGTGCTTGCCTCTTTGTGTGTGTGTACATGCTGTCCTGTGCATGTGTGCATATGCTTGCTTGTGTACAAAAGCTTTGTTCTGCTCTTTTTGCTTTGTTTTTGCTCAATACCTTGGCTTTCCAAGGATGTTATAATTCTTTAAAGTCTTTATGTGTGATGTAGGTTCGTACACGCTTGTGAGTGCAGGTATGTGTGTGCCACATTATGTATGTGGAGGTCAGAGGTTACGACTCTTGGGTCTTACACCTTCTTTTGAGGCAGAGTTCCACGTTGCTGCTGCTTACCCCAGGTTAGACCAGTTGTTTCAGGGGTTCTCCAGTCTCCACCTCCCATCTCTGTACTGGAACACGGAGATTACAGGTGTGCACCCGCTTCCCGTGGCTTCTTGGATTCGACTTGGGCCCTACACTTGTGCAGCAAGCACGCTACCTGATTAACTGCCTCCTCCCCAATGTTAGAGGAGATGTGTTTCCAGAGCTGATCTTACTTAATTTGAAGTGAGTGCTTTTTTGGTTCTTGATTCTTTTTTAAGCTATGAGTTTTGCTCAAATATCTCATGGTCTCTGGTTGGCAGCCAAAGTCTGAGGAGGGAAGAGAGTTCGTTAGGAGCTCAGAGAACCCATGTGGAGATTTCAGAATATTGGGGTGAATGAGTAAAAATCTGGCCACGGTTGCTGAGTACCCTGTGTAAGCCCTGCACAGCCATCCCTTCTGCCTCACCCTCATCTTTCCTGAGGATCTCAGCAATGCACTGGTCCTGTGTCACCTAGTCACCCTGTCACACGCACCTCCCCTTCAGGCCTTTCACTGTTACACTGACAGTTTTCCTTGACTATTCCATGCATGTGTGTGATCCATTCTGCTTCCCTCCCCCATCCTCATCCCGGCTCCCCCACTCCCTTCCTGCCCTTTGCTCAGCTTCATGACTTTGCCGTTGTTGTGTGACCCTTTGTGGCCATTTGTACCAGCGCTGGCTTGGAGCAATGCATTGGAGCTGCTGGAGACACCAGTGGGCACATGTGAAGACAAAGACTCCCCTCTCCTGCATCTAGCCGTAACAAATAGTTGGGTGATGAAGATGGGTCCTCCCACCCCCAACCCGTCCTTCACCTACCTCTGCCTGACAATTTTTTTTTTCAGGCAGGGTCTCACTGTGTAGCCCAGGCTAGCCCGGAAGTTATTACTATGTTTAGAGATCCACCTGCCTCCACCTTGCAGGTTGTGGCAGTAAAGGCATGTGCCACTACTCCAACCCTAGACCCAACACAGGCGTCAGTAGCAGCTGCCTCAATGTCCAGATTGCAACCACTGTCTCTATACCAGAAGATGGCATTTGGAAGCCCCTTACCTCCAAGGGTTAGAAGGGTTGGTATACATATCTTATTTTGGGCTGAGCACTCCTCTGTCATTTATTCACATCATTTTATTTTTATAATTTATTTATTTTTAAGACAGGATTTATTGGGTGTCCTGGAACTCACTCTGTAGACCAGGCTGGCCACGAATTCACAGAGTGCTCCCAAGTGCTGAGGGTAAAGGCATGAGCCACCATCACCTTGTTCAGGTCTTATTTTTAATGATTTGTTGGAGATATTGACACTCAGTCTTGTATCTTGTCCCAGTTTTCCTTTTTCCAGCAACTTTTTTCCTCTTGGCAGATCTAGGTGGAGGGACCCACAGACTGGCTCCTAGGCATGTTCATTTTGACCAAGGGTGCCATGGCAACCCTTTGCTGCAGAAGTTGAGCCAGAGCTTGATTTGCAGCTGTTTGGACATCAACTTCAAGTGAGGATGCCACGGGTTCCCTAGGGCTGTGTTCATTTGTACTTTTCTCTGTCTGCCTGCAGGCGGTGAGTTGACTGCCCATCTGCAGTCCATGCTTGGGATCTCTTCTTGGTCCTAACTTCTGTTGCTATTTTGTGTTCTGAGATGGGTTCATGCTGCCCAGGCTTGGCTCAATCTCCGAGACTCTTCTGCCTCTGTCTGCAGAGTAAAGGCATACGACACCATGGCTGGTGGGTTTCAAATTCTGTAAGTAGCTGAAGATGACTTTGAATTCCCGATTCTCCTGCCTCCACCTCCCAAGTGCTGCAAGTACAGCTGTGCTCCATGATATTGAGTTTGCGCAGTGCTGGGCATGGAAGCCAGGGCTACCCACACTCTAGACAAGCATTCTATCACAACCTCATCTTGTCAAGTAATTCTCGTGTATTTTCTTTCTTTTTTCTCTCTGTGTGTGTGTCTGTGTGTGTATTTCCAGTAGTTACAGCTAGAAATGCTCTCCTAAAAATCTTATTTATTCAGATATAAGACAAACAAACAAAATAATTTTAAACTTATCATGAAAACGTAATGACAGACTGCTACTGCCTCTCACTGATCAAACTTTGGTTTGGGTATGGATTTGGAGACGGGGTGACGTCATGGCTCATGGTGCACCCTCACTTCTGCACAAATGTAAACACAAGAGAGTGACAGGTGAGTGTGGG